GGCCTCCTCCTGACCCCATCAGAGAACTCCTGACCTGGCATTCTTTTTCATGTGCCCCAGGGATGGACTGGAGGCTGTCCTTGCCACACTCCTTTTTCTGATTTCTTGACTGCCTGAGTGTCACCGGGTCCCCACGACCAAGTGGCATGCAGTTAGAGACACTGTGGGAGTGGGTGGGTGACTGACTTCTTAGCTTAGTTGAATCAAGGACTAAGCTGAGTTGAACAAAAAGTTACACACAGTAACCGGTTAGGACAGGGGAGGAGGAAAGTGTGAGTCCAGGTCTGGGGACCCCCTGGGGCTATGGCTCTGGAAAACTCAGGCTGAGCAGAGACACGTGGGCATATTTTATTACTCTTTCAATGGTGTGTGTTGTGCTTATTTCATGACTCTTTAAGTGGCGTATGATAGATTTTAAATCTCTTAAATGTTTGAAAATGCACCAGATCTCCTCAAATCCCTTCAGGAACAAGATGAGGTATCAATACGAGGTGAATATGCCAATCGATAAAACGGTGTATTCATCTCAGTGTTTCTTTTTCTCTCCAGCATCTGGTCAATATTTCCAATGAAGACATACATGTTCATATTTTACCCCCACAAACCAAATACTTTCAGATCAAGTATGTGAAAAAGGTAAGCGGCATGTGGTGGCCTGTGGTCCCGCGGTGTTCTTTGTTGGGGTGTGGTTTTCTGTCGCGGGTCTGCCAGGGACGGGTGTGTAGTGTTGTCACCATGGTCCTGCTCTCTGTACGCATCTCGTCCCAACAAGAGCCCCCTTGTCTTCTAGGAGCACCGTCTTGTCCCTGGCTTGTCCCTCACGGTCACCGTTACATTTTCTCCAGACGAGTGGCGATACTATTATGATTGCATCCGTGTTCACTGTAAGGTCAGTTTCTGAAAAGTGGGTTCTTGGGAGGCACGGGTGGTATCGCAATTTGTTATCTTCAAGGGAAGAAGGGAGACAGAATGGCAAGTATGAAGCTTCTCAGTCCAGTGCCTCGGGCATCCAGTCTGAGTGGCTTGAGGGTACTGGTCCAGTGATGTGGGTCCCAGCTGGGAAAGCCTCAGGCTGCCTGAGAACTGGGACAGAGCCAGAAGCTGCTGTTTGCCGCAGGCTCCCACCTGCCCTGGCCTGAAAACCTCATTTATCATGCAGTGCTGGGAATGGATGAAGGCTTTTCGAATAACTTAAACATCTTCCTTTAAGCGCTAGTTAAAAAAAATCAGTCACAACCCCAAGTCATGATGACGAAACACCTGGGGTGGGATGGGGTCTCTGTAGGAACGTCCTCCGAGGCAGCTCGGGGGATCTGCATGGAGCGGGAGCTCATGCTGCTGTGTGAGTTCTCCCGCACATTTAATTCATTCCTCGCCCCCAAATTCCGGCACCACCACACCTCCCCCTTCTATGCATTTCACACCCAACCCTTGCAAGTTGAAAAGCTTTGAGGCTAACTAAATTTAACTTTTCAATACTGAAGTGGAAGACTATATATGCTGTAGTAAGAAGGTTTTAAAAAAAGAAAAAAAAACGCAAAATGAAGCTAGAATGTTGCTTTCAGGAGAAATTCTGAACCAAGAACAAAGACCCCTAGGCAGGCGTTGTACAGAGTGCGAGAGCGCACGTCCTGCTATTTAACGGTGATGCTATAGTGATACCTTGTGTTCAGGTGGCACTTCCAACTTTTTAAGGGCATCATCTGCTTTAATTCTCAAAAACACCTCTAAGGAAAGGCGGAATTATCACCATCTCAAAGGAAAGGAAGAAAGGAGGTATGGAGTCGGCAAAGGCCTTATTCCAGATCACGCATTACGCAGGACTAGAAGCAGGCTTCCCCGCCTCTGGCCAGTCCCTGGTTTACTGTTCCGTGCTCTGTAGATCAGCTGATTCTGTGTTGGTTTCTCTTGATCTCAGGCCACTAAAGATTGTGCTTCTCTGTAATTTTCTGAAATAGAAACAGACAGATTACTGTCTTCATCTCTATGTGAAGACATCGTTAACCTTAGCTTTCCTGGATAACAGTGGATCTCAATTTCAATGAAATATACTTAAAATTTTCTACATTTTATTTATAGCTAAGAAAATGATATTTCAAATGTATTTAAGCACTCAAGTTTCTTAGGGAAATTTTTTCCCTTTTTTCCTTTTTTGGTAAATATTTTTTTAATGATTGAAAATAAAATGAACTTGTAGGTACTTCATTTCTTACCTTGTTTTCAGTGTAGTAAACTTGACCTTCTTCCCATTAACTTTAGGGAGATGAAGCATTGCTTATCCCCATCCATGCCTATCCTGTCGTGAACACACTGGACTTTCCCTCATTTATAAATCTGTCAAATGTTCTACTTGGTGAAAGGTAAGTTATCAAAATGAACTACCAAAATGTCACAGCATGTGAAAAGTTGAAGAAATACTTGTATACGTAAAAGCTGAGATTTGTTTTTCCTAACAGAAGGTTGTCGTTCCAGCTAAGTTAGCCTGGACTTGTTTCTGCAGAGGCGAAAAACAAAAACAAACAAACAAACCAATAAACAAAACACCAAAAACTGAAGTCAGGGGGTCATAAGCAAGAAAGGAATTTGTTGAGTCACTAACCTGAAAGGTGCAAGGTGGATCTTCAGGCATGGCTGGGTCTAGAGGGGTCTAACTCAGGTGCAGGAACCTGCCTCTCCCCGAATCGTGGTTTTGCAGGCTCCTTTCTCAACAGGCTTCCCTTTGCGGAGGCAAGACAGCTGCCAGAAGGTCCAAGTACCAAGTACTGGCAATAAGGGTGGTTGGAGGGGCTGGAGGGGTTGGGGGCAACCATACAAAAGTCCCAGGATTGAATCTTACTGGACCACTTGGGTCTCATGTCCATCTATTAACCAGTCTCTGCTTTTAGATGAAAATGGATAGAGGGAAGGCAAAGACGATGGACAATCATTATAGAAGCCAAGTCTCCAAAGCCTCCCCACTTCTTGTTGGGAAAATAGTTGATAATTCTAGCTGTCCTTTAAGATGGCTGGTTTTTTTAATTAAACGTCTTCTGCCAGGTGTAGTGCTGTCTGTCCCTAGGGCTATAAATAAGATGCATACTTAGCTGTCAGATAGTGCCGGTTATTCGAATATTGAAATAATTCTGTACTAGTGGGGAAACATATACTGTCCTGAGATCCCAGCTGCCTGGCCCCTCTCCTGTCTCCCCTCGCCTCCCAGTGATTTAGTAACTAAGTTGTCAGTACCTAGTAATTTGGGGATGGAGGGAGGCACCTGCAGGACTTGGCTCCAGCCTTACATCCATTCTAATTGAGTACGGCATGTAAAGTCCTGGCTGAATGTCACTTTGAATATCACCTATGGTAAAAGGGTAAATAGACAAAAGTTCTCATCGTGAAGGTCCTAAAGTCTAATGGGGATAGAACCACATCATTAATTAGTTACATCAATTGCTAAGTGTTACAATATAGGGTCCTGTGTAGGCCCAGAAGAGGGAACACAAAACTGACTGGAGAGATGGGGAAGTCCTCACTCTTATAGGAGGAACACCTGGTTATCCTGAGGCCACCATGAGGTGGGACATGAGGATGGCCTTCAAGGCAGGGAAGTAGCATGTAGAAGGCATGGTGTCAGCAAAGAGCATAGACTGCGTCTTATGGGTGATGAATCCACCCAGTAGCTGGCAAATACTAGATCCCTCTTGATTTGGGCATGGGAGAGGCACCTGCAGGACCTGGCTCCAGCCTTGTATCCATTCAAGTCCAGACAGTGAGCAAAGGCTGTGGGCTTCAGCATGTGCACAGGGGTGAAAGCAGGCAGCACTGAGCAGGGAGTTACAAGTTGCTAATAATGACCAGGTAATAGAGTTCGAGAGAGGGGCAACTGAACATTTTTGGTGGCGGTGGGGACCAATGGGTATGAGCCTCAGGTCCCTCCCTTTTTTAGTGCCATCTGTGGTCTTTGAGTGGAACCCCAACATTTAGATCTGGAACAGGCAGATGTGTGACCCTGTTCCTCCGCCCAACAGCTCCCCATGAGCTGACTCACCATCTTTCTTTACTTTCTTTTTCAGATAACTCTTTAAGAATTGTCAATAAGTAATATATTACAAAAATACGTGTAATAATATGTACAGTTTAAAGAATAATGATACGATGAATATTGATTTTAAGACATTGAGACATAAAGCACTACCGATAATTTTGCAACCACCATTCTGAATTTTGCGACAATTTCTTTTATTTATTTTAATAGTTTGGACACGTACGTAGGCACCCCCGAATAACACATTGTTTAGCTTTACCAGTGTTTGATCTTTATATAAATGGAATCATACTGTCTGTAAGTTCTTTTGCAGGCTCTGCTTCATAATGACTGTGTGACCCTGAAAAATGACAACTTTTCTGTGCCTCTCAGAATCCTCGTGTGTAAAATGCAGTTCATAAGAGTACCTACCTTGTAGAATTGGTCTGAGGATTAAACAAGTTAAAATAGAACTTATTAATAGTTCACAGTAATAGTTAAAAGTTTTTAATACTTAATAATAACAAAAACAGTGCTTAGCATATAGTTAAATGTCAACAGCATATAGAGAAATTGCTATGAGAGGCTTGGAGTGGGAAGGCTGGCGGCCAAGTTGAATGTAGGCTTCTAACACTGAGTGACTGGGCTGATGGCAGAGGGGGATGTGTGAAGCCCCAAAGCAGCCTGTCAAGATCCGCGCACAAGCTGGGAGAGTGGCCAAGGTAGGGCAGGGTAGGGATGAGGTGAGGATGTAGCTGTGGGTCTAGGATGGAGAGTTTCTTTCTCTTAGCGTGTATATATTTTTTTCAAGTTTTATTGAGATTTTTTAAACACCTTTATTATGGTATGATTCCTGTACAATAAACTACACGTATTTCAAATGTATAATTTGATGAATTTTGATAGCGTATACACACATAAAAACACCACCACAGTCACTCCCCAAGAGGTGCAAATTTTGAATTCCCAATTTATCCCTTCCTACCCCGTTTACCCTCTGATAACCATAAATTTGTTCTCTATGTCTTTAAATCTGTTTTCTATTTTGTAGATAAGTTCATTTGTGTCCTTTTTTTTTAGATTCTACATATAAGTGATATCATATTGTATTTTTCTTTCTCTTTCTGACTTACTTCACTTAGAATGACAGTCTCCATGTCCATCCATGTTGCTGCAATGGCATTATTTTATTCTTTTTTATGGCTGAGTAGTATTCCATTGAATAAGTATACCACATCTTCTTTATCCAGTCATCTGTCGATGGACATTTAGGTTGCTTCCATGTCTTGGCAATTGCAAATAGTGCTGCTACGAACATTGGGGTGCATGCATCTTTTCAAATTAGGATTTTCCCACCTGAGAGTGGGATTGCTGGATCATATGGAACTCTATTTTTAGTTTTTTCAGGAACCGCTATACTGTCCTCCATAGTGGCTGCACCAATTTATACTCCCACAAACAGTGTAGGAGGGTTCCATTCTCTCCACACCCTCTCTAGCATTTATTATTTGTAGACTTTTTGATGATGGCCATTCTGACTGGTGTGAAGTACTACTTCATTGTAGTTTTGATTTGCATTTCTCGAATAATCACTGATGTTGAGCACCTTTTCATATGCCTGTTGGCTATCTGTATGTCTTCCTTTTAGAAATGTCTGTTTAGGTCTTCTGCTCATTTTTTGATTGGATTTTGTTTTGTTTGTTTTATTATATTGAGCTGTGTGAGCTGCTTGTGTATTTTGGAAATTAATCCTTTGTCAGTCACATCACTTGTAAATATTTTCTCCGATTCCATAGGTTGTCTTTTTATTTTGTTTATGGTTTCCTTTGCTGTGCAAAAGCTTTTAAATTTAATTAGTCGCTTTTGTTAATTTTTGTTTTTATTTCCATTACCCCAGGAGCAGACCCAGAAGGATATTGCTGTAACTTATGTCAAAGTGTTCTGCCTGTGTTTTCCTCTAGCAGTTTTATAGTGTCTCATTTTATGTTTAGGTCTTTAGTCCATTTTGAGTTTATTTGTGTTATGGTGTTAGAGAATGTTCTAATTTCATTCTTTTACAGGCAGCTGTCCAGTTTTCCCAGCACCACTTTGAAAAGACTGCCTTTTCTCCATTGCATATTCTTGCCTCCTTTATTATAGATTAATTGACCATAAGTGTATGGGTTTATTTCTGGGCTTTCTATCCTGTTCCATTGATCTATGTGTCTGTTTTTGTACCAGTACCATACTGTTTTGATTAGCTTTGTAGTACAGTCTGAAGACCTTGGGTAGTATGGCCATTTTAACAATATTGATTCTTCCAATCCAAGAACACAGTGTATCTTTCCATTTGTTTATGTCTTCTTCAGTTTCTTTCATCCGCATCTTATAGTTTTTAGAGTAC